TATCCTCGTAATTGCTATCAAACATTTCAGTGAATTAGGGATGAAATAGCAATAGCATTACAACGCTGTTACTACTTTTCCATCTTCTCTTAATCACTTCTAGATCCCTTGAGAAAATACCGATGATTTAAGCTAAACTTGGGAAGCATCCCAAGAAGCCCGTGAATTTTTCAGCACTTCAGAAGTAATTAGTGATTATTTAAATAAGAAGACATCATTAAAATAATTAATACACAGAATTAAAAGCTCATTCTTCTTGAGCCAGTATCGATTTTCACTTCAGTAACAGTATTTTAACTTGTGCATTTTGACTATTTCCACCAAAACTGAGGGCAGAGATAATCGCCATAGTATTTTCAGTGTGAGAATGTGATATAGGAAATCATCAGTTGTATTTTGACTCCTGTATTCTAGCACTGGAGATTAATAAAATAAATGAAGAGACCCAGAATTACGAGATGAACCTTCAACCTTCTTACCTTTAAAATAATTTCCAGTAGAATCCCATTTGTACTTCGAGACAGATTCATGACACTGGAAATGACTGTCTGGATACGCTGCAGGAAGAATCCCATTGAGTTAAATGTTGAAGCTGATTTGCATTTGAGAAGAGACAAGTTGTCTCTTTTCTAAACAAAGTTTCCTATTTCAGTGAGCAATATAAACATATTCAGAGTTCTCCTATCCATTTCTTGACAGCTTTATAGGAAAATCTTATAAGCAGATGCACAGGAGTTTTTTGTTCGTTTTCTTATTTTGTTTTGTTACAAATGTGCATCTATTTTATAAAACACTCCTGTGAAGCTGTATCGCTAAAATGGACTGATGAATGACCTTTAAAAGGGCCCTTTGATTTCTTTCTGGCCAAGAAGGCTATTGCAACTCTTACTACTGAATACTACTGAATTCCCTAGGAATTGTGCACAACGGCTTTAGTGTACCAAAAAAGTAATGGTTCCTAAGTAAATGGAAAGTTTCTCTCTGTATTCTTCTATAGGCTACTCATCAAGAAGCACTTTAAAAGCATCTGCTACTCATTCAGTGGCATTAAGAACTGAAACCAGCCAGGAAACTGCTTCAGCTTCCACGGGAACATCTCTTCTGCCCACTTTACATACAGCAAGGATCAGACATTTAAAACAAGAAATCCAGACAAGGTGAGCAATCGTTGATTGATTGTCCCTGCATTCTTCCTTAGAATAAGTATCCCCCTGCAGATTCTTTTCCTCCTAAAAAGGGGTTGCATTTGGATTCTGTGGCTGCCTCATACCTGTTACAGGAAGCGGTCTGTTCTAACACGCAATCTTTATGCATGTGGCAAATGCCCTACAGCAGAACTGCATACAACATGCTGATCTTACTTCATTCCTCCCTCATGTATATCTGATGATAGGTTTTTCTTAGAGAAGCACGCTTGTGAACTGGCACATCTGGAACTAACCCTAATGATGGAAGAAATAAACACCATCTCTTACTTTTACGAATCTTCCAAGGCTAAGGAAAAGGAAGACCAGAAGGGAAATTGGGTAAGGCTAGCAATGTACTGGAGTTGTCAGTCAAAGAAAATAAAGCTTTCTGTTTCTTTGCAGGTTGTGTCCAATTCTAGCCATATCACATCAGAAATGAAAGTTGATTCAAAAGGTAGTTTCTTGAAGAAAGCAATCTTCTGTTTTGACCATTGCAAAAGCAACGGTGCAAAAGAAAAATAAGATTTCCTTCTCAATTTTCAGGCTCAAAAATCAGTGACCTGTTTCTCAGTAGCTCTTGGGTACTTCACTCCTAGTAAATCAGTCTGCTTATGTTACTTACGTGAACTTGGACATCTAATTTATGGCTGTGATTTATGGTATACTATGCTTTTAGGGAATGAAGAGCAGTAAAAAAACAGAAGCAACCAGCACGAAGGACTCGCTTCTGAAAGAACTCTCAGAACATCATCACCATGCTGAACAAACTCTCTGCCAGAAACATATGGAAGAAATCAAGTACTCAGGCCTAAACCAGGATTTGGCAGCACCAAAACAGAGCTTACATTTTCTGGAAGAAATTCTCCACCACTTGTCAGTTTGTCATCCTGAATTACAAATCCCAGAATCTAATATCACTGAACAAGAAGTGAGCTTAAGGCATTTTATTTATGCCGCTTCTGCCACCATTATCTCTTTGCTTTGCAAGAATGAATGTGATCTTGATTGGATGGTACAAATGAGCTCTGGGCATTATGGAAGTGGCTGTTTTTTCAGAGAAGCTATAGTCAGAAGCACAGAAGCATGCTCCACATCTCCCTGTACTGGACCATGTCTTTTATTGCCTCAGTACAGGTTGAGAAATATTTTCTTGGCTAAAGAATAACAACTTCAAGTTAAAACCTGGCCTTGCTAGTTCTGATGACCATGATGCTATTTGTTCTTGTAGAAAACCTTTACCTTTTATTCTTTTTTGCTTGGCAGAAACCACGAACTTTGGAAGCTGAGGCTTTTCCAAACTCTTTAACTCAAATACTACATATTTCAGCAATAAAAATAGTGAAGCTGGAAGCTCTGAGGCAAGTGTGTCTGTATAGAGTCCTGGACCTCTACAATAACCTGCAGGTAGAGGCATTTTTTTCTCTTCACATCTCACCTCTCCTTGCATGAGCTTCATGGTGTTTCACAAGTTGCTGGAGCTTAGAGATGCCCAGCCTCGCTGACCGATGACCTTCAGTACACGCAGGGCACAGGCTAAGGCACACGGCACTTCACATCTCCAAAGTGCAGTTGCAGTAGGCTCATGTTCACTGTGCTTTTAGTTACATAACCCAGTGCAGAAAACAGGTTTAATTCTATAAACAAAAATGATGTGCTTGTAGGACTATGCTTTCTCGTTTCAGAGGTTGATTTTTCCAGAAAGTGTGACAAGAATCCTGAACAGCTTCAACTACAAAAGTGCAGGTGAAGAAGTAACTCAAAAGATCGCAAAAACTAGAGAGACACAGCAAGTGGCAAGAGCAGTGGCTTTTCTACAGAAGTATCATCAGGAAGGGGATTTGCTTATTGGTTTACAAGAAGAAGCAGAGGCTGAGCTCAGAACTATGAGGGCACAATTTAGACGGGAACTTCAAACACAGACAGAAGAAAAGGTACAAGAGCTGGAACATTAGTCTTCCTTGGCTTATAGAGCTAGTAAAAGGGATGAGACCTCAGTAAAATCTCTGGCCATGTGTTTTTAGGTTCTGCAACTTTTATGTTGTTCACAAATGTTTGAGTCATATTGTCAGTCATATTGTCAGCTAGGACTCTCCAGCTCTATCTGGACATAACTAGTAAAACATTTTCAAGCCCCTTTTTTAACTGATGGAGTACATTATTTTTCCGGGTCCTTCATTCTGTTTTCCAATCTGCAATGAAAAGCTAATGTAAGCTAATCTAAAAGACTTTGTGATGCTTTCTACCCAGATACAAGCCAAAGAAATGCAAGTGATTCAGGAGGCTGAAGGACAGGGACTAGGGAGCCTTGTATCATATTTCCTCCTATCTCAAAGGCACCTACGGCAAACAGTCACAATGCTACAAGACTGCTGCAGGCTCCGGAAGACTGCCTTGAGGTCCCAAAAGGAAGGCCTAAACCTGGAATTGCTTGTTTTAAAAGTAAAATTATCTTCATAATTTATATAGAATCTGGAATTCCTCTAGTATCTTACTACAGAGCTTTAAAGTTTATATACTCTCTTCTGTAATTATTTCTGTTTACATCAGTGGGATAGCTAACTCCACCTTAAAAAAAAAAGTGTAACGCATAATGAATACTTTAACCTACAACATCTGCATTCATGCAAAAAAAAGTGTAAATAACCTGGAATATGGCTTACATTCTAGACTACAGTTCAGAAGTCTGAGATCTATTTCTTAATGTGGAGTTACTTACAATTTCTCCACAATGATACCTTTCGTTTTTGGCAAAATATTATCTATTTTCCACTGCCTCTGAGAGTATTTTCACACACCCCTAATTCTTAAAGCTGTGTATTTTCAGTAGGTGACATATGAAGAAAAAATATATATTTTTCTGATCGTATTCTACATTGTATTTCACATGGCAAATTTATCTTTCAGGAGTTATTGACTGACGATGATGAGAGGGGCATTTTGCATTTCCTGAAAGACAACACAGAGTATATATTTTTAGTGCTGGAATATATACAAGCAGCCCAATTATTACAACTGAGAGAGTCACAGTTTAAGGAAATAGCCAGAAGCCTAAAAGTCTGCATCCAGGAGAAGGTAAATTTAGAAATAAATTGCCTTTTTATACAGAATATGTCCTAATTTGCATTGCTACTGTTACTGTAGAAAGAACTCTATTCTCCAAGCACCATCCTTTCCAGAAAACTCTGGTCTTGGTTTCTATTTATTTTCCCCTCTCCTGTAGTCTGTGGATGAAGCTAACATCACAGCCAATGAACTGCAGAAATTAAGACTGAAGGATCAGCTTAAAGTCTTCCTGGGAAATAAAAGAGCAGAGAAGAATACCTCAAGTCCTTCTGACCCATTGCAGGTAAGAAAACAGCAGATCACAGTAGCTTTATAGACTACATCATATGCATGATATAGAGCCTTAATGATGCAATACTAATAAGACTACAACTGCAGCTATATTAGGTCACTTATGTTCTGTACCATGAGATTCATAACAAATACATCAATAGTTTGGAGAAAGAGATTTGCAGTGTATTATTTTACATAGTTTGGAAGGCATATAAAGGTTTTTTCTTCCTAAATGAAGCATGTACTCCCTGAGAAATTCACTCTAGGAGCTAAAGCCCTCCTGGAGGTCTATATATTTGGTTCTTAATATTTTTTCTGCAAATTAAGTAATGCAAAGGAGCCAAAATTTCTAAAGAACAGAGCCTAGACTTATGTCAGGGTGGTAGTAAAAGGTCACATAAAACTAAAAAACTGAATTGCACTAGCAAAAGCAAAATATCCACTGTATTTTTTTAAAGGCACTTACTTTTACATCTCATTTTAAATTCGCAGAATGTGGTGAAACAATACAGTGAATCACAAGCCTTCTTAGGGAAGGATTTTCATCCAGATTTGGAAGAGCTAAGCATAAGCCTAGAAGAAGGAAAAGAAAGAGACACAAAACAGAACAACAGTTCCCGGTCATTCATCACAGAGTATTCCTGGATTCCAGGGACACACCATGAGGCAGATGACCAGCTGCTATTGTTCCTGACTAAGAGTAGGTCTGATTTGTCAGAGGAAATTCACCTGATCCATCCTTCTCTGCTAAAGCTGATATCTTTCCAGAGGTGGGGGCATTAATGCTTTTGAAATGGAACGAATGGGAAAAGGTGAGGGGCAAATCAGACTAAATTAACAGTATTGAATGAGGAAGGTTTTAGTGATTCTCTGGGTGAGGAGATGGAAAGCCAGCCCCTTTTTCCTAACTAAGTATCAGCAGAAGAATACCTTAAGCGGTCCTAATAATTAAGCAAGCAAAATAGAAGGGGTTTTTTAGGTTAAAATGACATTTTCAGATCAGGTGGTGATAATTTTTGATGCTCTCAAGTTAGACACGTTATGTAAAAATGAATTCTTACATGGACACTTACTTTTTCTAGGTAATAAATAAAATCAAATGTCTTACCTAAATGATCTTCACGCAGCCTCAGAGCTGAGCTTATTCCTTAGGGTCAAGAAATTTCTAAGCTTTCTTCTTGAAAAATCAGCAGGTACTTCATAGGTCCCAGGATATTCTCCTCTGGATTGAAAACAAAAATTGTATTGGAAGTAAGGGAATTACCACATATGATCGATTCCTTAAGGTTTCTGAGTCTTTTCCAACACATTCTGTATGAAGCAAGCAGCTGTTTATTTTCTCAGCAACTCGGAAAGATGGGTTTTAGCATGCTCCAAAATTAATCTAAACAAAGAAATATAATTAAAATTTGATGTGAAACACTGCTATCTGGAACAGAGAACAAAGAATTTCTCCCAGCAGCAAAACCTAAAATTATAAAATGCTGAGTGCATCATGTAGCCCAGCTGGCCTTGTTGCTCTCTTATCTCCTTGTGAGCAATTCGTAGAGCTTCCTTAGCATCAGATTGGTTGTATGATTCACTAAATATCTAAACCCCAAAGAAAGATTTCCCTATCTAGTTTATTGGAGAGATTCCAATATATTTTTATAGGTTTAAACTGCTTCTAAAATTAGATATTTGTTCAACAAAACCAACTTTTTTTTTCCTAATATTGATTTTAACTGATAACTTAGCATCTCTTCTCTACAGAAAAGCCATAAATAGCATACAGAACAAGAAGAGGAAGGGGCACAGACCTCCCTGGAATCCTTTGCAGTCATTAACTAGTGTGTACTCCTCTCACAGATATCAAGGTTCTGAAGCACGCAGGGCACCTGATGGTATCCAGAATTGTTCTTCTGAATCCACACTTCACTCCTCCTCCTCCTCTGTATGGTAAACATCTTAAATCAATTTGTTAGCTACTGCCTGAGTAATTGATCTGCCTCAGCTGATCTCCTAGAAGGTGGTTTTTTTTTCCTCTCAGCTGTTTTATGGTGGTATGTCAACCTATTACAAAGTCCCATGATCACTGAATAAGTAATTTGCCTATGTCTGCTGTATAGCAGGAATAGAGCTCTTATTGCAAGCCACATGTTGTGGTTGGAGCACTGAAATACAGCTGTAAGTTGCATTTGTAGGTAACTATTTTTCCCAGTAATTCTGATGAAATAGGGAATTTTATACCTGGATAGAGTGCCACTACTTAAAGGCAGGGAATTGATTTCTTTTTACCATTAAGAAAGCAACAGAAACAAACATACTGTTAAGAAAGAAAAGGCCATTGCCAGGAGCTTTCTGGAAGCAGTCTAAGCAAGAACTACAGGAAAGAGAAATAACTGAGTGTTACATAATTCCTTTTTTTTTCCCCCCAGGGTACAAAATTTGTATTTGCTCAGAAAAGATGGCAAGAGATGGTAATATCAGAAAGTAGTATTGTGGGTATGTAGCTGGTGATAAAACTAAGCATATAAAAACTTCCCCAGTTCTTGGTCTTTGGAAAAGGATAGTGATGAGCTCTGAACTCCTGCATCAGGAGCTGAACTAGTGGAAAGCCATATTCCCAATGGCATATCTAATCTCTTTTCTGTTTAAGCTCCAATGTAATGCAAAGCTTTGTTTCAGCATTGAGGTAGCCATAAACAGTGTTTATTGCAATAATAGATGTCTTATTCTCCTGTACGGATAATTACTCTACCCCTTTTTAGAAGAAAGTCTAAACAATCACACCCTGGCTTCCCTATGATGGAGCATAACCCACAAGCAACCTCACATTTCAAGGCCTTAATTATTTAAGATTTCACTAGGAAGAGTAGAGGGCTGGTAGTTGTCTAAGGCTGAGGACTAAAGCTTGAGGTTGACTCATGAAAGAATTGAGAATACATTGCTATGACCTCTTTTTATAATAAATAATTCCTTTTAATTGTTCTACATTGAGAAGTCTAGGCCACTGTGCATCTGTATTGCTGTGTTCCCCTTAAGCAAAAAGAAAATAAAAATCAGAAAGTAATGAAATCCCTTATTTCTTCTCTCTCTCTCTCTCTCTCTCTCTCTCTCTCTCTCTCTCTTCAGAAGCAAAAAGTTCCACAAGCTCTTTTCAGGACATACTGGATTCCTTGATGCCTTGTGACAGAGAAATAGCAGTAGTCCAGCCTCCAGCCCTTTCTGCAAGGGAGTTTGTCATATATCAATATGGCCTCTCCATCCTACAATTCCTCAAACTTCACATGGATGTAAGCTAAGATACTAATTTTTAGTGATAAGTGCTTCCAAAAAAAGTAGATGTCAAAATTCAGCGTACAGTATATGATGAATCTATCACTTTTAAGGCAAGATCAAGCATAGGCTGATCAGTCTAGAAAATAACAAGTACTTATTCTCTAACTTGCAGTTATCTTTGTATAGTACCTTTGTATATGTTTTCAGTACATCAATTTATTCCTACACAATTAGTACAAGAAGAAATACTTCTTTTAAAATCTGGATCCCCTTGTGCTTTAACAGTTTAGAGTACATTATAGTGCTAATCTAGGTAAACTCTCTAGGACTTTTCATAACTATATGAAATAATAATAAAAATAAGGAGGACTAACAGACAGAGCAGCAGGGCTAGAGTACACTTCCATTTATTTGATTAAAAAATTGGCAAGATGAAGTGATATGATATGCTAGAATTTTTTTTTAAACAGTCTTCCTTTTCTTGTGTTAGTTTTTGGCTCTATGCATTCACTGCAAATCAAAGCTGACATTTAAATAAATTTATACTCCATTAATTCCTCTTAGTTTGCAGATCTCAAGTGCATTCATGTTTTCATACAATCCATTTTTCTCTCCTCTGTAGGCTCCAGAAATTAACCTGTGTGTTGCCTCCAGCATTCCTCTCAGTAATACCACAGGCAATGCTTTCAGAAACTCCTTCTTTTATCAGGTTTGTCAACTTCATATCAAGTCAGCTTACTCAGCCTTTTCATATTCATTTAGTTCTGGAACTAGGAAGTAATTTTTTTTTTTTTTTTTTTTTAAGTCATAGTATGCTTGATAGAGATACAATTTCTAGGAGAGATATCAATAGAGGAACCACTGCAAATGCCGTCTTCCAGCTACGCCTGAACATTTTTATAGATTCAAAGTCAGGATCTTAACTATGTTTAACATGGGGATCATCCCCATAGCACAAAAACTCCATTAATTCTCATGCCCTCATCTCTCCTGCCCAAGTTCCACCGCTCCTATTCCTACCAAATTTTCTGCAAGTTGCCTTTATACCAGTCATATAGCAATATATCAACATTTCACTTAATCAATGAAAGTTACAGAATCTAATTTTACCATTGTGGGATACTGATAAAAAAAATCTGTAACAGATTCATAATACAGAGATGGAATTATCTAGAAACGTGGAATACAAAAATGCTTTAGATTTCTCCGAGGTAGTAAAATTTAAGCATATCTCTTTAGTGAGTAATAAATAACCACTGTGAAAAACAATAATAATGTTGGATTGCTTGCTCTGTGGATATTCCCCCATAGTCTCTAACCTAGATCTAACTTTCTCACAAATTCAAATTGATCATTGTAAGAGTCACGACAACTGAGAATACCACAGTCCTTTCCTCAGATCTGTGGGGGTTTTTTTTTTTTTTTTCCCACCCCTTCCTTCTCCCCCTCAGAATTCCAAGAAAAAACTCTTTGTTCTAAGAGATTGCCTGGACTCTGGAGGAAGCTTCCTTTTGCTCCTGGTGCACTGTTTCGCCCATATCATTGCTGCTGACTTCAATGAGGACTCCAACCCAGTCTTTCTGAAGGTTTTTTATCAGGTACATCACTGTATTCCAAGTGACATTGCATTATAGAAGTGTTTGGAGAAAAAAAATAAAGAGCAGGTTCTTCTTGTACACCTAATAATAGGAAGTAAGAGGAGAGGTGTAGTAAGACAGTCAGCTAGTACCATAACTGTAGTCATACTTACACAGTAGCTATTCACAGAAAGATTCATATTCAGGCAATCAGAGAATATCAGTTAGCTCCAGATGCTACAGAGGATCCCAACATATCATGCACTAACCTCTTGTATACTATACTAACTGACAAATAACTGTGTGTTCCACTGACAGAAAAGGAGAGATAGATCCAGAACTATATCCTCCAACTGGGCACCACATGGCAGAATCAAACAGAATGCTTTCATAATCAGAGTCCTGACTCAAGAGAATTATAGGAGACATAGAAGAAGAAATAGCAGCTTCTCATAACACCTCTAATTTGAGTCTTTTATATAAACTATCTTTGCACTGCTAGGAATGTTAGTTGTCAGCTAGTTTTTCCTAGAGATATTGCCAGGGCACGCACTGATTTTAACCCCCTGTTGAGAGCTATTCTTTATGAATAGTGACTCTCATCGTGATTGAGAAGGACTCCCAGCATTGCTTGAAAGGCTACACAGCACAGATATCCATAATGAGATTCTCCTCCTGTCTGGTACAATGTTCTCATGATCATCTCTCCATAATCACGGCCATGAACACCACCATATTAACCCCATTTCACAGAATACTTGCTATTTATATAAAGTCCCCATGAGACCAATAAGCCTATCTTTTGAGATAAACAGGCTTTCAGAAGTAGAAAACTGGCTTGATAGCCTTGTGTTGTCCTGTTTTTCCCCCACTATCACTTAGTAGATACATTCAAGGGGTTACCTATCATCAAATCCTGTGTGACTGTTTTTGGATTTTTAAAACAATTTCTGTTTCTAGGCACTAAAGGCTTGTTTCAGTGAAATGTTCTCCCTCAGACTCCAGATATCAGCAGTGCTTCAGGGCAATAAATTCTCCAGAATAAGTGAGATGATGCTGAAGGAAGAACCCTTCTCTGAAGGGGAAGTAAGTCTCATATCTCAACTTTTTGAGATCAAAGTGAAAAGCCTTCAAGAGATGGGAACCTTTGAAAAGGTAAGAGGATTCATGACTCCTAATCGGGTAGGAAAATAAGAAGGGAGCTTTCTACCTTAGTTGAAAAGTGTCAATTTCAAGCTGCCTGTAAATGCCTTTATTCCCTGCCCGCCACCCCCCAGAAAAAACACACACACACTTGCCCTTTCCCTAAATAATAGGTTTAAATGGTATCAGGAAGCATGCCCTATATGATGACAACTCCTAAATTTTAAGATACCTCTAATATGTTAAAACTGAACAGTTTCACAAGCTGTCATTTTCTAAACTCTCCTATCAAAGGATTTGAACTTCTTACAAATTGCATAGAAGACCATACCATAAAGCTTAAAGATTCTATGAAGGATTTTTAACAGTAACCTGCCTTACTCCACTTTTGTGCTTTTTCACAGCATGTAAAGGAGAGCAGGAAATCTATGTTCCCTAAGAAACTTGAGAAGCCACTAAGTGACAGGTTATCTGTGAAGAGAAAAGAGCCTTTCCTTTATGCCATGAACAGCTATGACACCAACAGCTTTGAACAGAGAACATGGTGAGAATAATCTGATAGAAGGTATTTACATTGTGCTGTTCCAAACAAGCAACTGAACTGTTTACATTGGGAACAGGGTGGTAAATGGAAGGGAAAGAGAAGCACAAAGTGATAGACAAAGTAAATCAGTAAATCATGACCCCTCTTTAACTAAAGCCAATCCTACCCTCTTTAATACAAGATGTAGTCACAGGTAATCTGTGGCCAAAGTATGTCACCAGATTAATTACTTCTCTATAAGCTATCATTAAACTATAGCTATTGAGAATGTAATTTCAGCAACGACAGAATCACATTTCTATCTTTTCCTTCTTATCAAGCTAAGAGTATCACTTCAGCAGTGGCATTTATTATGTCTCATTTACAGCATCAATTTTCATTTCTTCAGCTTGGAAGAAAGCAGCACTTGCTTCTCCCCTTCAGAACTGGAAGACTAAGTGAATGTATTAACTGAAAAGCTGGTGAATATTGTCCAGAATGAACAGATTTTAAACAGCATAGGCAATGAAAACTTGTCCTTTGACCACCTTGAAAGCAATGCCTTGGAGAAAGACCATTTGGTAAAACAAATAAATGCATTGGAAGAAGAGACAGTGCAAAGCAAAACGTTTTAACCTTATTCAGAGGAAGATGGAGTGGTGCAGTTTCCGTGTGGCTCTCTGGCCTTTATATTCCAGCTTTATGCTGAAATGAATCTTGGTTTTGGTGGAGTTTATACAGCTTTGTTTCCCCCTTCATATTAAAGGCTTGTTAAATTTGCAGTGAAAGCCATGTAGATATCTAACACCTTAACCTACTTCACTACATCAAGATGTAGAAAGGCATACCACCTCGTGCCTCTTCTGTCCGTAAGAAGGTCCAACTTAGCTGTCAAAAGAACATGAAGAGGTAAAAGCCCAGCTGGAGCTAAAAGCATGTCTGGCACATACTTAAGTCCCCTCCAGTGAATACAGAAGGGATTCCACTTCTTATGTGAAGAGTTCACATACATACACACACAGCACACAACTTACTAAGCCTGCCTTAACTACCTTTGCCAGAAGAAAGACTCAAACAGTCAAGAATGTTGATTCTTCCTTGACTTGGGCCATCACCAAACACGGCTTTGTTAAACTCCCTTCAGGACACTGATAGCAGATCAGACAGCTCTTAAAAAACACGAGTAGATTTATTGATATCTGCATTTCCTTTTTAACTTACAAATAGAGTCTTACACATGAATTTTCAATTTTAAATACTAATAAAACATTAAAATGGTTACATAATAAAACCGTATAGTTTCAAACACACACGACCGCATCAGTGCTTTTTACATCATTTACACAACTTCAGTGTCAGCCTTCATTCTGTGCCACACTTAAGTGTTTCAACTGCCTGAAACAGGCACACCCACAGTTCTACCGCTTGGTATTGATCCAATGGTATCTATCAATACGCGGTCCTGTGAAAGCAGCTGTTGGCCTGTAGACTCTGTAACCCCTGTGCTGGGCATAATATGAGCCTGTCTGAGGAGGTCCATCAGTCATATATGCCTTCCTATGAAGATACTGAGACCAGGTCTGTATAGGTGGTTTGCAGAAGTCATTGAACTATACAGCAAGAAATGAGAGATCGTTATAGCTCTTTTTGAGGTAGAAGGGGAGACTGGTCCGGCCAGTTTAGCCTATGGCCTGCCTCTGTGAATGAGGCTGTAGCAAGGGCTCTAGATCTTAGAGAGAGCATTATCACATGCTTACCTGATAGACACTGTTAGGATTGCTGACAGTAGGGATCGTTTTTGGCTCCTTGTTGAAGCTCTCCTCATCTGAAGAGGTACCAGAATGATAGTCCAATGCTGCTCTATCAACAGCATAGCTGATCTGCTGTGGAAGCTCTCGGTTCTCTTCTCCTTGGAAATGAGCAATCGTGAAAGGCCGGTTCTTCTCTCCATATCTGAAAGTATTTGTATAATGCAGCTCTGTGCTGGAAGCAGGCACTTCTGCTACTACAGGCACCAATAATGAAATATACGCCCAGACATTAAGTCTCTAGTAATAAGCTTAAAGGATCAACCTTGTACTAGAGCACTTGACACAGGTGGTATCTTTAATTAGAGCTTCACAGCTCACCTGCAGCATACTTCAAATGGATCAACCCATAGCGTCATCTCTTTTGGCAAACCAAGATGATTGAAGTCCACATTACTCTCCACACAAGCTTGCTCCAGCAGTGGATCTCTCCTTTGGTGTTTGTTTATCCTTATACACCTTGGGGTAGGAGTATAAGTGCAGGATGTAAAGCAAGATTAAACCACAACTACACAAGTACAGCCCATACATAAATATATTTAAATTCAGTAATGATTTTCTCTGCTACCCTATTGATTCAATGGCACACAGCCTTAACCAGCTGTCAGCCTAAAAGGAGATGCTTTATAAATCCAGAAAAAGATTCTACAATGCAGCAGCTCACTTCAGAGATCGTTATTAGACAGCCAGAGGCAGATAAGATATATTCTGGGTTCAGTTCAGACCACTCAGTTCCTACATTCAAGTAGTCAGACAGCTACTCAGTGTTACACACATTGCTTCCCACCCTCAGTTTCCTAGCTGCATCCAGGCACATGTGAAAGCACTTCACTAAAACCCTTTTCAACATAAGTGCATCTTTATCTGTCAATAGAATTTCTTCCCCCTCAAGCTGAGGAAGGGGGTCAGTAGCTCTCTAAAGGTTTTGCCTCACTACATTTTACATTTACTTGCTGCTCGTTTCCACTGTAAGGTCTCCAGATATGGAGAAGATGTTCACTACAGCTTGATATTTTTCAAAAAAGTGTTGTAGTCCTTCCACACCCTTCTACCAGCGCTTTTCTTACCTGAAAGCTTGTCCTCTGGATGGATTGTCCAGATACCAATGATCCTTGTACTTTTCAAACAGTATTGTTGTCAGTTTAGTTGCAAATTTCTCCATTTTTCGTTTACTCAGCTTGTCTTGCCTTTTTATTAGCCTTGTGATGAAGAAGACTGTGGCAGCAATTTCATCTTTCATTTTAAAGTACAGAAGGTGCTTTAGCTGTTGAATAGTTATCAGTAGAAATAAGACACTAGTTTAGAGACATTTGATAACATTAAGGTGCTAATCTTATTCAAATAAGGTAGTGAGCCTATTCAAAAATAAGTGTTGCAGAACCTTCAGCATAAACTATGCCAGATAAAAGCTAGATATTCTGCAGAGATCTAGGAAGATAACATATTGCCAAACAGGTTCTAATAATGAACTCAATTTAATGCATTACTGGAAGGCACAGTTATTACAGTACCTAATATAGGAACATTTACAGAGTACTACTTGTCATTTATATATTAGAACCCCAAATCAGCAGTCCCTATAGATAATCCTTTTAAAATATAACATGAACATTACCTTTTCACACCACAACTGATATCTTCGGTCTGATCAAAGTCACAAATCTTACACAGGATTCTAAAGAAACAGGTTTAGTATCCAAAAAAAAACCCCAGAAGAACCCACCTAAAAACTAAAAGCAAAACAAAAACAAGAAAAAAAAAAACCCAAGAAAAAAATCTTTAAATCCATTTTCAGGCTAACTTACCTGGGGTTTATATAGAACTGGAAATCAGGTGGCCCTTGGGAAAGCAACGATATTCAGGTGCACTGCATTAAGTTGCCTGACATGCTGATTTCAAAGCTATTTCCAGTCTACTTGTTTTTATCCTAATATCAGCCCCCTCTTTTTAAGGAAATCAATTCTGCATTGTGTTCTCTTGTGTCCATTGGTCTATATCATAAATGCTATTTTATTTTTACTGAAATTTTCATTATGAGAAAAATAGTTCCAGATTTATTAATTACCAAAGTTATACCTGACAGCTCCTAGCAAACAACACAGGCTTGTATGAAGCCCTCACATTTGCTATTCTTTATCTTGAAATTTGTTATATGACTCTTGTCATGACATAAATTTTACTAGGTTTCTACATAAATGTTCCCATGATTTGTAAAGCCTTATGCTATGCTTGAGGCATTCCGTGAAGAGCGCGAATGACTCTTAAAGGATTGACAGGAAGGCACTTTCTCAAATATGAGCACTACAGTGTTTAAAACTTCAGGCAGTAATTACTCAGAGCACAACCAGAGAAAAGCTGATGCATTCTGTTTTTTCTTCCCTTTGCTGTCTCAGGAATTTGTGCCTCCCATGCCAAAAAGCAGGAACTGTCAAGACAAGAGAACAAATTAAGGTGAAAAGAGCTGAGTTTTTAAACTGATTCTTGATTTTATTGTGGATATTGTAACTAATCAATTCAAGTGCTTACCTTCAGTATCGGATTAGATTGTGATAAAATCAAAAAATCACAGAATGGTTAAGGTTGGAAGGAACCCAGCTAGTCCAACCCCCTGCTCCACCAGGAACACCTAGAGCCCAGGGCACCCGATCACATTCAGACAGGTCTGCAGATCTCCAGAAAAGGAGAGCCCACAACCTGCCAGGGCAGCCTGTTCCAGGGCTCTGTCACCCTGAAAGGAAAGAAGTTCTTCCTCACGTGGAAATTGAACTGCCTGGATTTCAACGTGTAGCCGTTGCCCCTTGTCCTATCATTGGCCACCACTGAGAAGAGTGATGGATATGAAATACAGTCAATAAGCAAAATGAAGTATAATAGAAATGAGGTAATAAATTTTAAAAGGTATTTTTCTCTTTTCTTTTCCTCATGTATCTACATACTTCCTTTAACCAGTACTTTTCAATCTCCATTCCAAAACCAGAGAACACAAGTCTGAGATACATTATGACTCTTCAGAAAGTGTTCAGTAGCACCAGAGGTCGAACTCTAATATCCAGGCCAGTGTGTCAAGCACAACACTGTCACTGCCATGTACTCTGCACTGCACTTGCTAGCATGTGATGACAAATACACATGCCACGAGTCATTCTTTCCCTTCTGCATAAAGCAAAAGACGGTGATGATAGTCTGCTCTGGGTTTTCTGGAAAATGGTGTCCGACAACAGGAAATCACTGCTACACATTACCATGAAGAAAGTCTATACAAGTTTTTTTAAGAGTTTGTCTTCTCTTTCTATGGAGTCTGTGAGGAATCTTACTTTCCCCTGACCCTTTGCATCCCACACACCAAAATTAGCTCTGAGCAATAGATGAGAATTCATGAATGGGCAAAATGGATTTTCATGCCTGAGGCCTGAACTGCATTTGAGAGATTTAAAATTGCTTTAAAAATATCAGGCAATTGAAGGGTCTTTTTTTTTTTTTTTTTTTTTTTTTTTTTTTTTTTTTTTTTTTTTTTTTTTTTTTTTTTTTTTTTTCTGGCCTGAATGGATTTCCTTGTAAACCCTGAAAACCCAATTCACAGCCACCTCAATCTGGCTTTGTTTTTAAGTTTCTGTTGCATGGTGACATGTCAAAAGCACAAAAAGTGTTCCCAAGATACTGCATCTTTTTATCTCACAGATTTTGGTAAAGATTGTAGCTGAGCTGTATAACACGCGGCCAATATGGCGCTTTATGGAGCTTCATTTTGACAATGAAATAAGTTAATAAGAGGAATTAGTTAGCTGCAGTCCTCCTGAGAGCAAGTGTTCACAGTCTTCTCCTTGACTGACACTATGATAGTCTTCTCACTTAGTGGATTGTCAACTTTCTGGACAGCACTGCACACAACAGCAGCGATATTCTAGTCCTGCACTATTTACACAGAACTCTGCTCTGCAGAGATATCTGAAATAGTCTCGAAGAGTATTTCAGCATTCTCATCTAGCCACACGTAAAGCCCCCACTTGCTAGGTCCCAAGGAGATATCGCTCGCTTCATGACGTATCTTAAGTGCCTGAGAGTTTTTTTACCAGAATTATAGAGACATATTCCAAGGCTTTGCAGAGAGAAAAACTAAGGCACATGCAGAGTGTGAAGTGATTGCAGTGAAGTTTTTTCTAGTGTCTTTACTTCTAGCAAATTCTAGCAGGAAAGACGCAGTTGGGAGGAAGTACCACAGACCTGGGCTTTCAACTACGCTGACAAAGAAGTGTCCGGGAAAATATTAAACAAATGCAACATTCACATCCGAAAAATGACAGCTCATGCACATAATTATGGGTTTTGAAGTTCTCTTCCTTAATGGTTTAGTCACTCAGGGTTCATGAGTAATCAGAGGCATAGAAACTATGAATCCTCTAGGGATGATGTTGTTTCTTGCCAAAGCACAGGAAGTTGCTGTTTAGTCTCGTTTCTTCTGCCTTCATGTAATTTTCCAGCAATATCATGATCTAATATTACAATTTAATAAAAGATCTGACTTCTGCCTATAAACCTTGTTTTCTTTTTATCAGGGCTAAAATAACACTCCTACTGCAGAACAGCATCACACGGCCCCCTTCCCCTGCCACTGGCGTTGGTAATTCGAGCGTAGTTTCCATGGGGGCTCTGACCCCAGTGCAATTAGGGCTCAGGAATTATTCAGCCACTTTTTCTCAGTCGCTTTTCCTCAATGAATGCTGGACTGGTTTAGGGTTGCTAGAGCACATCAGCTGATGGGACGTCTGAACTGTCTTAAACGTGTCCGGGCAGGTCCTGGAAGTTTCGAAATTCCGGGACAAAAGTGTGAGGTGCGTGGATTCCACAAAGGGCAATCAGAGAGAAGTCTGAATCCCTACACCTCCTTTTGTTCAGCTACTTGTTCCCATAGTTAACACACAAGCTGTAAAGCGGTAGTAAACAAAGCTTTTCACCTGAGAAACCAGAGGGAGCAGTGAAATCAGTCATGCAAAATTCTTGGCAATTCATCCAGACGGCTCTCATTTTTAAGGCTGTCACTGATAAAGAAGTACAGTGCTGAGAGCTTTTAATTTAGTATTTTCAATATCAAACAAGAGTGCGTAAATGTTTTTGATAATGACACTGCTTAAAAGAAGCCAAAAAAACAGAGATTATTGCCACTGTCTGGCTTCCCACTTTAATGACAAGAAAACCCATCTCTTTTTCTTAGGCTTGAACTCAGATCCTTCACAATGCTCTCACTTTTCACTGGCTTACAGGAAACATAGTTTTATTTACTCTGTTTGGACAGTAACAAGCTGAGAAACAGAGCTTCAAACACAAAATCTGGACTGTCCATCCCAATGTGAGATCCCCCAAGCAACAGTCCATGAATTATGCTCCAGCTCATTCCCAAGCACATCCCAGCAGAAATTGTTAGCATCCCAGCAGCATTTGCAAAGAAGAAAAGCAGGATTAATAACTAACATGAGATAAGTGAGCAGACTTTTGTATCTTCTGCTAAATGGTGCTGTTGGTTTTTAATCATTCTTAGAACAAAAAAATAAAAATAAAAAGAGAGAAGCCAGTTTGCTTCATTCTAGTGCCTGGCCGTAAGTAGCCAGATTCAGAGCTCACTGAACTCAACAGAAATCTGTCCAAAGACTTCAGTGGGATTCAGATCAGGCCCCTAACTCAGCACAAGCATTCTTAGTTAGATTAAATTATGGGTCTCCGGGATCACCAGGCAAGCCTAGGCATGAACTACAAAGGGAAAAGAGTCAGGCACAGTTTCTCTAGTAACTGCAGGCCAAACCAAGAGCAAACACTGTCTGCCTAAACAGATTGCTAGCAAGGGTCACTCTTGCAGTTTCCTTTTTTCTTTTTTTTCTTTTTTTCTTTTCTTTCTCTTTTTTTTTTTTTTTTTTTATTTTTAGCAATTGAGCACGTGCAACCAACAAAGCAAGGTCCAGATTACTGTTAGCAATCTCCATTCTACGAGCCATTCAGCTTTGGAGGCTGATGAATGACAGACACCTTGTCTAGGTAAGATACGTAAGCCCTAACTCTTGACAGAAAATCAGTAAGCGTGAGCTAGTTCGATACAGGAAAACTAAATTCTAGTATGTTGATTGTTCACAGAAATTTTTCCCTTTTAGATTATGAGAGTGACTCTTTCTGGGCCTAAATGGCAAGTTTAAGAATATTTACTTAAAATGTGAATCATTTATTTAAGACTTTCATTTTTACCTAATTACTTAGTAACTCAATGGATATTCTGTAAATAGCTCAACATGGTTACCTGCAATTTTTCTACATAGACATCTTACTGTGAGTACTGTTATTTTATTATGCATTGCACACACAACAACATGGCCATGCTAACGACACTGATTAGTAGCGGGGGATGACTTTCCACAGGAAAACCCTCATTCCTATAAAGGGCCTTTGGGTCCAGGTCTGAAAGAACATTGTGCCAGCAGGAGAAGTGTGATGGTGTGACACGATTGGGTCATACTGTGCCAACAGATGAGATAAGCGTCACTGCAACTGTGCACCACTATTAAACATTTCTGTCTCACAACTCCATAGCTACCTCAATTTGTCATCTCCCAGATCTGCAGCATTTCACTTCAGCATCTGCTTTACCTCAGTCAGTGAGTTGTCATTCTCCTTTCTGTCATTTTTCTCTCTTTCTGAGATAAGTCCATGCAGTTATATAGTAATGTTTAGCACCTTCTATTGTTATTAATGGAATTCCCATTACAAAATACGGATTGTGAAAAACTTACATTGCCTTGCAGCGGATCTTAATTGTTTGAGCACAGCATGTTACTAGAATTTTACTTATGATGACCAATCTTTGTTGACTAAAGGAATAAAATAAACTGAAATAGACTGGTGATGGTCTAGCATGCTATAAAACGGAATAACATGGGTTAAGTAATTGAGCTTACTTTATACACTCTTAGAGCTAACTGAAAATTGTTTCTGCTAGTGGAACACCCTTTCTCCTGCTCTGCCTTGGCCGCCCATGCAGCCAGCATGGAGGATAGGACAGCGAAAGTGGGGGCAAACTGCACTGCAGCGACGCATCATCTCATCTACCTGTCCTCTACCCAAATAGTAGCAGGGTTGGGACATGTTGGGCTGGTGGCGCGGAGGAAAAGAGCAAAGATCAAGTACAGAAACAAGGCTGGAAATGCAAGAGAGAGAGAGAGGACTGCAGGAAGCTGAACAGGCCAGGAACTGGCTGAACAAACGGCTATTTGTTCATTCTGTTTGGCTATCTTTTTGCACATCTGACTACGGTTCCGAGGCTCCCTAGACGGCCAAAACCAGGCTCCAGCTGTCAGTGTAGGGGGATGTGCCTGGACCACCACATGCAACAGGATAGCCCAGGTCACCCTCAACAGCTGTGACACAACCTGCAGCTCTTGGCTCACAGGAGAAAGGCAAACGCCTGGCTTTGCCCACAGAAACCTTTCATGACAAAGCATCCCTGCATTCTAAAGCAAGGGCCCATCCTCCTTGCAGAAGCTGCACCTGAGCGACCATGACAACGGAGCGTACACAAAGGTTGCAGGCATGGGGCTGCCCCACAGCCCAGACGGGACACTCCAGCCCAGGCACCCTAAGGGTGGAGACGGGGCACCCATGTGCCGCCGCAGGAAACGCTCCCAGGGGCACCTTTGTCCCTTAAAAGATCGCTGGGTACCAATGGACACGTAGCTGTGCTAGTCATGAGAAACGGGACGAAATGAAGAGTTAAGAAGCTGGCCAATTTCCCCTTTCCATTTCAGCTTCTCCATTTTAAGCTTCATTCAGTCCTTACTCCATATAAATTCCATCTTTATCATCAGGATTATTACAAGGTAAGTTGCTAAAGGGTAAGTCCTGAATTCCTTTTTATGCATTTTTATAAGTAATTTTTCATGAGAGCAAGCTTTTATTTTTAATTGATAGGACAAATTTTCCTTATAAGCTCAGTAAGAATAACCTCATAAGCTTTCCTTATAAGCTCTATTAAGAATAACCTGGTTAACTTATAAAAATATTTGTATCACATAATTAATTGCAGACACATATAGAGTTTTGTTCTGCAGAACAGATGTGCTCAATGTTACGGCTACCACAGATTAGTGCAAAAGGTTTGAGCAGCCTGACAGCTGCCTACTGGCCCTACCTGTGTTCACTGTCTTACCTCGCACTCACTTCTGAAATCATCTTCGTACTGCACCTACCACACTTCGATTTGTTAAAAACAATTACTTTGTGAAATAAAGACATGAAGGGACAGCAAGGGTGACCTGACCAATGTTTTTCATTACTGAGAACTGTTTCCTTTTATAAGAGCAGCTGATGCGATAGAATGAGTTAATACACATTACTGGAAGTGCTTTCTTTGTTTCCAGGTTTGAATGCCATGACCCCATTACAGAAGGAGTGCTTGGTTTGTAGGCAGTGTAGTTAGCTGATTGTATCCACTGCTTCGCAATCACTAACTTCACTGCCATCAAAACAAGGCACAGAATTCCCTGCTACAACCTCAGGACAGAAAATGCCTAATACCATCCTCATGCCTAATGTAAAATTATTAATAATGCCTATTTGACTGTATCTTTTTAAATGAATTTTAAGGCCTGGGAAAATTGATCCTTGGTAGTATTAGAACCTTCTATAGGAGTTTATTTAAAATCAAAACCAGAATACCAGTCTTCATAAAAGTAGATGTTGAAAGGCAACTGTCCCTTACATTACATCAGCCTAGTTACTAGGCAGTGTAGTTAGCTGATTGCCAAAGGTAACAATCACTAACCACACAGCCAGGTAAAAAGGCTTGGAAGATATCTCAATGGAAACCACATGCACAGGAAGGCACGGAGACTAACGTCTTTGCGTTGGTATGCAACTCACAAGCGGGGCTGTAACACAAAGTAAGTGAGACAAACTGGTTTGCCAGTCACACATGTACGAGACACCAGTATAGCTGTCCAACCATACTGCTTTTTAACTACAGGTACGTGTGTGATGATACACGACTTCACTCAGAACTGTTTGGTGTACAAAAAAGAACACGAGAGCAAACTGAAAGGCTATTTTTTTTTCTCTCTCTCTCATTTGCAGACACTAGGTCCAACTCTGGCTGTTTTCCTCAACCTTACATTTGTGTAATGACACTTTTAGTCCTATTTCCTCCTAATAAATAAAATGCAAGCTTATGATTCTTTTGTGGAAATGAATGTTGTCTTTTGTTCTGACCAGCTTGAGATCTTAGAGCCTCTTTGCTAGACACCACACAAACACAGGCTAAAAAGAGGGTTCCACAGAAGTGACCTGCTGCATTTACTGCCTGGCTTGCCCACCCTGGCTGAGCTTTTGGCAAGGTCGGTCACCAATGACTCACCCTGCCACCAGCTCCTGGTTGGAGCCTGACGCTCCCTGGGAAGCAGCACGGACACGGATGTGGACATGGACACCGACGGCCTTTGGTCTTTTGTTAAGGGCGGCATTACATAGCGCTGCCCTTCCTTTCGTGCCGCTCTGCTGGCGTCAGAGCGAGCGTTCCTCCCAGCCCAGAGATGCAGCAGGAAGGCGTGACTTGACTTTACGCCTGCAAACGGCACTCAGCAGCGGGCACTGAGGCTCCTTGGCCGGGCGCTTCCGAGAGCACGTTTCAAGAGCAGAGAGGAAGCGGATGACTGCAAAGTACCGAGAGCCCAGGGCAGCAAGGTTTACATAGGTCTCCGGTCCATAATGCAAGCGCCAGGAGAGGAAAAAAGAAACGCAGCGCGGATGCGGGCACCTGCCGCGTCAGGTGACGGTGACCGGAAGGTGCACCGGGCGCTGCCGCCCTCCCGCCAAGCCAGGGATGGGGGACCCGGGGCTGCAGCCTGGTCGAGGGAGAGCCAGGGGCACGCTGGGGACAGAGCGTGGCCACCGCTCAGCCCCGCTGCCCGCCACTGGCCTGGTCTTCACGGGCTCAAGCGCCAGCAACGTGGCGGCCGCTCGCTCCTTCTGGAGCTCGGCCGCCCTCCCGCCGCACATCGAGTCCTGCCTGGCGCCTGCGGCCCTGCACCGTGAGGGGACCCTGCCCCCCGGCCCGGGCCCACACCTTCCCTCTACCACCTGGCGGCCCCGCATCTTCCCTGAGGCCCCCCAGCTCCCGCGAGGACGCCCGCCTGCCCCGGGGCCCGGTGCTCGCTCCAGCTCCCCACTCACGCGCATGCACTTTCCTCAGGGCCCCTCCGCTTTCCTGGGGCCCTGCACCCTCCCCAGCCCCGCAAAGAGCTACCCCAGGGCTGGCACCCTAACGCGGTGCTTTTCACGGGCTTTCTCGGTAATTCAGCCCCGGGGCCGTGTTTGCTAGCAAGGCTACAGCAATTAATCCATGCTCTCTATTCTAATACTACTGTTTTTTTCCTCACGTGATTTTTCTTTCAGGAAGGAGTACTGCTGTGCAGGGCCCGCTGCTTGTCAGCAGTTAAGTATCAAGGACTGCCTGCCCCAGTTTGCTAAGCCTTCGCCAGCTGCCTAGTTTTCTCGGAGGGATTTATTCCGGGGAGCAAATAACGAGTGATGCCAAAAGCTCTGGGTGTCGGGGCAGCCCCAAACTCTGCACAGGGCAGATGCTTGGGCTGCCTTGGAGGTCCGGACGAGGGGTCTGAAGCTCTCCGAGCAGCCCCAACGTGCACTAGGCATTTTGCCCTCTGGGAAGCATGGTTGTGGCACAAGGCCTTGGTCAATTGCTTCTCATTCATTGTATTTAGAAAATGAGAAAAACAGTGAGAAAGAGAGAATCTTGGAAGCTCACAACATGCAGAAAATTGAAGAAAAAGAAAAGTATCTTCAGCAGGTAAGAACCACTGACTGGAGTATAGCAAGAAACGCCTGTCAAAGAGCTGTTTGATTCAATCTGCTGTCCGCTGAATAAATGGCATCAGTATCCCCTCGTATGTCTTCAGACATACTAGACTCTCACTTTTATGCAGGATGGAAATCCCCAAAGACTAAAGAGGTGTTTGGTTTTTTTTCCAGTAATCAGGAATACAGACTCTGGAATTTGTAAAAGAAGAAGCCTTCCTATGCATGTTGTTTTGATCATCTGGGAGCCAGTTTTTAAATTTATTTTCCAGATAACTGTTTTTCATTAATGATAGAATCAACTGTTAAGAGCTGAATTGCAAAGTTGTAACTCTGTAGTGTGAATAACAAGTTTTCAGGGTCATTTCTGCATTTTGCTGAGTTTCTACTCAGGCTCTGGGGGGATCCACATGTCATTTTTCCCTCTCTACAGTTAATTTGTTCACGGTGTGCTCATAATGTCTATCCCAGTTTAGTACCTAGAAAGAGAGGGCTTTTTGGCTGCTGTTGTTGTTTTTTGAAAACGGTGCCACTTTCACATACAAAGCACTGCCATAGATCAATTGCAGTACAGCTCAAAGAGTTGGTTTATTTCTTAGTTGTCTTTCTCAGTTATTAATAGATCTCTCCATTAGCCTCTGCCCAGCAGCAGCAAGTGCCAAGAGCTGATTGAGGGCGAGATACGGGAAACCTGGTAGTGGGTAGTTATTAAACAAACTTCCATAGGAATGCTTCTGCCATAGCCTGTCACTCAGGCATAGGTTAGGTGATGTTTTTAGACCGATATAATTGCAGAACTGCTTGACTAAGCCACTTCACATCCTACTCAGCTCCAGAACAAACTGCAGGCTTCAGCAAACATCATGAAAATTCAGTTGAAAACACTACCTTTACCAAAGAAGGTGTAATTGTGATGTAGAATCTTGCTGGTTTGCAAAGAGCCTTTCTGACTTCAGTGTAGTTTTACTTACATCAGTCTGCCCTGGCACTGCAAAATCAGGAGTTTATTTAACCATATTTGTAGAACTGGTAATTGGTGAAGGATCGGTTTAATTCAGCTTGCAATGAGGTATATATACTCAAAGCCAAATTTTATTTGCAAACAAAAATTTTGAAAATCAGTATTTATCTACATAATATTTTTGCTCATAAGGTACGCTCCCTATTTACTGAAGACTGCATGATTCATATTTATGCAATGAGACAAGCATTTTATTGCCCATAAAAAGAAGCAAAATAAGCAACCTAGTGTTTGCATCTTTGAGGTCCATCCCCTCCATAGCAGTGGGGTTGAACGAAGTGGATAGACTTTGGGGTTTCTCCTGATGCTTTGCCAAGGAAAAAAAAAAATGTTTGGCCAACAACAGTTGTGCTTGCTTTCGAGACATTGATATACGCTGAAGATATCAACCCTTCCCAAAGTCACCATTCATACGACCTGTAAATACTATTCCATATGTATATGAGGAATGCAATTCACACTAGTAATGGAAATCTAAGACAACTGAAGTCAAACATTGTAAAAGGACTGCCAGCCTAACTCTGTAATTATAGTATATTTTACCAGTTTTACTAAAACGTTCTGTGTTTTTAATGAAAAGCCTCTACTCTATATTTGGGAAGCAGGCCAGGCAATCTGCAAAAGATGTGGAAAGGCGCTGAGGTCTGCAAATCTTTACTGCAAGTCAGCAATCCTCTTTTTCCAATTAATAACCCTGTAATGCATCTCAGCCATTAGCATCAATTAGCCTTCTTTCTACGTATTGGCTGGAGTTAGCAATGATTCCCTACTTCTTCAGTTCATCTTTTTAAAATTCAGTAACAATGGTGATGCTAAGGTTTTGCAGCTTTGGGCATCTGGCAGCCATCAAGTTGGCTGATTAATTTCAATGAATAAATTACTTTATTCTAAACTACAGGACATGCTATAAGCCTCGAGTAAGTCTAGGAAAATGATAACTAATGCACTGAATGCACTAAGAATAATGTTCACATTGCTATCAGTCGCAGGTGTCATTTTCTGCTCAAACACAGACTGCAAACCTGACATCCTGCTCTTACTTACTAGGATATCAAAACTCGGAATCTGTATTCTTATGTGCACATCTAGGCAGTGAATTTTGTCTACACAGCGGTACAGTGTCAGGATTTTTCAGAAAGGAAGCTTAGTTACCTTAACATTGTCATATCATCATTTGGCAGTGCATTTATTTATTATAAATACTTGTTTTATTTAGGTGGCTAATTTCATACAAAATAGGAGGGCAGCACATTGGAAAAGAGCTGCTATCCTTTGAAACATTCGTTTTACTAGACTATTCTGAAACCCATTTATTCCCACATGCTTTACAGGGTATTTCATGATTATCAAAGAAACTACAGGAACAGAAACACCGCAAATCAGAGTAATGAGCTAAATACAGCAAGAACTGGAATGCTTAGCTTGTGTGAATAAGGTCTTTGTATCGCTAGGTACTTTTTTCACTCTACTTTCTCCTTGAATATTGGTATTTCTTGGTTATTTTCAGTTTCTCCATTCTAAAATTGTGCTCTACCAGCTTTTTGTCATCGTTCTGTTTACTAGGGCCATGAGGCCCCTCACGGTCCCTAATGGTCCTGAAGAGCCTCACCTGGGGTCTCCTCCCACAGCCCCACCCAGGGGCGGTCTCTTTGCAATGGACCTGTCTGCCTTGCCCTGGGTTGTATCCCACCCAGGTTATCCTCATTAGGGCTGATCCATACTTAAGGATTCCCTTCCCAGGTTGCATTTCTATTTGCCTCCTCGCAACAACTTTCTTTAGCTTTTTGTTGAAAATGGTTGCTACCTCTCTTTACTGTCTCCCAAGGTACGGCAGGGCTGTACTCTTTCTTTCATTTATGGTTTAAAAAGCATTCTTTTTCATTGTAGTAAAGACTAGTTTATTCCGGAGAGGCATTCTGAAGAAGAGTTTTTGGCTGGGTGCACCTCTCTGATGAACAGTGTTTTGTAGTGAGTCATTGTGTATATGAGAATCCTGAATTGCCTTATTTTGTGAATCTCTAGATTAACAAAGAACTGTTTGCTTATCTGTGTGTACAGAGATGTATATGTTTATGAAAAATATGCTTGCATTTATATGTATATCAAATGTATAATTGTATATATTTTTCCTGGATTTATTGTGCTTATTTTCTATCTTAGGCCAAGAAAAGAGAAGAAATACTAGCTTTACTGAGGAAGCAGAGAGAAGAAAGGATTGCAGTAAGTCTGACTTATTTTCAGCTTCCTTCTGCAGGCATGTGCGACTATACACCACAGACAACATTGCAAGTATGGTAGTCCAGAATATAAAAGCTTTTGGGGTATGACAAAGTGTGCCATAGCTGACAAAGTTTTACAATAGCAGAAAGTCAGTTTGAACTCTAGTAAGCATGGGGAGAGGTTGGCTGTGTTGAGCAGATCCACCAAGCAGGGAGTTCTCTCGGTCCTGCGCCTCTGAAGGTATCAGGCCTGACTGAAGCAGAAGGCACAGAAGCCAGGCATAACCAGGTGCTCCTTGAAGCACAGTTTCCCTTTGTCTACATGTAACTTAGCTACAAGGCAGCGACTTTACTTTTTCCAAGTACTGGAACTGGGTAGTTGGGGCAGCTCCCATGTGGTCTTGTGTGGGAGGAGCCCATAGGAACTGCAGCCCACCTCAGTGGTAGAGGCAGGTGGGAAGCAGGGCATGTATGGAAAAGTGCTGAATGTTTAAAGCTGGAAGACATTTGGATTGGGAAGAGAAATACTGCAGAAGCAGTGGCCAACACTGTCAGAGTAGTGATGAGGAAAGGGTCTTCAGCAGGGACTTAGAGATGTATAGCAGAAGGACGTCAGTTATGTAATTCACTGAACTAGAATGAAGTCAAATGAAAACAGCCTTTTTAAAATCTAATATGCTGAAATCATCTTCATAACCTATCAACCATAACTCTAGCTGTTTTTTCCTGTTGTTGTCTCAAAGAGCTTTTTTTCCCTTCCACTGAAGTACTAAAACTTTTGGGGTTGTAATAGAGCGATAAAACTTGCAGCAGGTTTGGCTTGCACTGCTCTGTAAAAAGCTTTCATAAACCAAATCTGGACAATAAAAGGAAGAAATCCGTTTAGGATTTTTATTATCAGCAATGAACACTAGATTTACTAGTTTATAATATTTTTTGCTTGGTCTGACTGGAAGCTTATTAAGAAGAGAAAATTCTACAATAAGATCCTTATTATATTAAGGTAGTCCTTTCCTTCAGTTGTAATTTGCAAGATACAAAGCAGAGATGGATGTTTGTAACCCATATAAGGATAAATACTTCATCTGAAGAGTTACAGATCCTGATAATATAATTTAATTACCCTCAGTAGAGGAGAGCAGAACAGAAGTTTTTAAGCTGATGAATGTAGTGATCTGACAAGAGACTTAGAAAGCAGAATTTCAAAGCATGCTTTCAGGAATGACATGCTCATTTCAGACATCAACTCATCTTTCTTTCCTCACTTCAGATTTTTAATGGCTTCATATTAAGTACTTTCTTAGAGTTCATGAAAATGCTGAACCAAACACATGTGCTTTATCCAAATGGAATGTTTTAAAACTAGGTGTGTAACAAGAGAATTTCTGCACTTCTGATGCGATACCTTAAATGGGTTTTATACTGTGAAATACTTGAGTATCCTTCTAGCATGAGTAGCTTGAGGTGGAGAAGGAAAAAAAAAACAAAAGCTCTGAATGATTTTCTAATGCTAATGTAGCCTTTTCTCAGCATTTCTATAAAACTATTTTCCAGGATAGGCAGTCTAAGTTTAGAATGAATTAGAGGTAACTAATCAATCTTTTCTCTTTTTAGAAAGAATTGATTTCTTGTCCATATAAACCAAGGATCAAAACAGATCAATTAAGGTGATTAAAGTACTTAAAATAAGGATTTTACTCCGCGTAAGTAGCCAGGCCTGGTTTGCAGCAGGGAGGAGGGATACAAGGATGTTGTTTTTTCCAAACAATAAGAATAATTAAAAATAAGCATGCAGTTTTATTCTGTATTATTTGTTATGATAAGCACTGGAGACTGAAAGGCTAGTCTGCCTGATACTGCTGTTCTGTACTTGGTTTTAAATGCACAACAGGCATGAACATGTCATAAGCACAAATGTAAATCACTGACTTCTTGGTGTTTTGATTATGTCTAAGTAGGGAGGTGAGAAAAGCAATGAAACTACAGTTATTAAAAATAATCTATAAAGATTTTAGGTTTGTATTTTGGTTCAAAAGCAGGAAGTCCGGAAGAAGATCACAACTGGCCGAGGGTTTACGTGCTTTTTCAGAGGATTAGGAAATAACTGATGCTCTTCCTTTGCAAAGCATATCCTTATCATAAAGTAAGGAAAGAGATCAAAATCTTTAGTATCATGTGATATGGATGTTCTTTTTGTTGTGATTTTGTACATCTTAGTTCCTTGGTGTCTGACCCTTGTATAGATCCAGAGGTAGATGGCCATAATAAGACATAACTTCATGATATAATACGTTGTGTGTGACTTGTTCACAAACTCTTGAAACTCTATTTGGAACTCAAAATCAGTCTTGCAAACGTGCAGATCTGCATAACCTTTAAGGGCACACAGCACAGGAGTCTAATTATTAACCCAGAGTGACAGCTTGATTTTGAAAATATTTGTCTGGATGCATTACAGTATCCTTGCATGGTGTATTGAGAATCTGGAAAGGCGACCCTCTAAAGATATGTAAAGATCTTAGAACTGTGTGGGAACAAATGACCTGAAATAGATTTTCATGCGGTTTAGGCCAGTGATTTAGATGTAGGAGTCGCTAAACCAGGCGGTGAAGGACTCTTTAATTTGCAACCAACTTTAGGCCTGAGGTTGCTGACAATCTGGTTCTGTTAGGTCAGACAGTTTCCTTTCTGGGTCTCGGCTCTGACCTCCTGTAATGATGTAAATACTGTTCTTTCCCATTGTCAGTACGTATTTACTAAAGTAAACAGGATCCCAGCAACTGTCTGATAGGGGCTATGTAAGCAGAAACTCAAGTTTAAGGTCATTCTCTATTATTTCCAGACTCTGGGATTGAGGAGGATTAGAGAACTGCTTTAAACTCAAGCAGCATGTTGTAGCTGCGGGGAGTGTTGTGTGTGCTCCTAATCTGTTGTCGTGAAAGGGATTCTCTTGAAGCAATAGATTTACCTGGCCTCCTAAAACTGATTACTCCAAGATAAACAGGACTAATACTTAAACATACTTGCTAGTTGATTCTTTTCACATGTGCCTTCTAGTCTGTGCTATAAAACAGAATTCATTTCTTAATTAAATCAGCAGTGCTGTGCCTATCCAAAAACCTTATTTTCTTTTGCCAAGGTTAATTACCAGTCAAGTGGGAACTACAGGCATTGTGTTAAAAATGCATTGCCCCATGGGCCAAAAGAATTAAGCTGCAATGTAAGCACTGAAGAACTACACTCAGTATGATCTTTTTGTTAATTTGAGGAGGGAGGCAGAAAAAAATGCTATCTCTTGCTTGAAAATGCTGACAGGGTAGCTCACAGCCTTTGATTCAGCAGTTTCTTCTCTTTAATAAATGACATTTAAGTAACTTAAGTGAGGCCGTTTTTTTCCTCACACTGGCACCAGTTTAGGCAAGACTGTCGCTGAACGTCCACGCCTCAAACACTAAGCAATGAATCTATAGCTTCCATCTTCCTTCCAAGTTAACATATGGATATGAAAGTTGAGAAATGACACACAATTCATTTTGAAAGCAAATGCTTCAAGAAAGTACTGGGCTTTAGATGGAATTAATTCCAAGCAGGACCATAGCTACCTTCAAAGCTGGCTAGAAGGGCGGACAGAAGCATCTGGAACAAATGCCGAGGCTCCAGGTATAATGTCTTCTGAGGAGGGTGGCTGTAGGGAGGCGCAGGTATGAAGGGATGTCCTGCAGGACCCTTCCAGGTACCACAGAAGGCAAGCAGGGGCAGAACTGGTGGCGCTGGGTGCTGCAAGTGACACTTGATGGCATTGAGAGAGCTGAAATGCACATTTTAGCCAGCAGTTTATGACCTGTGAAGAACACTGTACTGTAAGTTAGCATATTGTCCTGTTATATTGATGCAGTCATGTATAACTGAGTGTGGAGTGTACCGCTCTCTCCATTCTGAAGCAACGTAATTGTAGTACAATGCTTTGACTGGTGGTTGTGTTTCATAAGCTGCAGTTACTGCCCTGCTAAGTTAGTGTTTCTGATCTGGTTCTGTTTTTTCCAGCAGGGGGAAGGTGTCTGACTGTGACCTTGCAGATCAAGAAGCAGTCAAAGCCCTCGAATAGATCAGCTAAGTTGTCTGATAGGGAATAGTGCTGCTTTGTTCAAGAAATAACATCCAGCTCCCAGGACCAGGCTGTTCTAGACTTGAAGACACCTATGTTCTGATTTTGATAGCATTTCTAGTTGTTCCTAGTGTGACAAAGGCTGTGGATAGATTTGGAGCATTTTTTCAGCCTGTAGAATTTTGTTTTGCTAAGTTTAAAACAATAAATGTTTAATTCAAAGACTTTGAGGCAACAAATGTCTTTACTCACTAAAGTGCTATGCCCTAGTGTGGAAACATGGATCTTGTAAACAGTCGGGTGTTTTTTAATTGCACTGGTGGTTTCCCTTTGCCTTGGTACTGTAGCAGTGTCTGGAGGATGCCAGTAGCTGCTTGCCAATCTTGAGTCCTTCCCCAAGCTGCTGCCTAATGGAAAGCCACAAGATGGTAAAGGGCCTATGGCTCTTACAGAAACCATAAATCTCTCCTGAAGGCTTGTGTCTTCTAATGCTTGTTACTAAGTGGTAAATATTGCTAGTACTTTGTTCCATGGAGATATGTTAAGGCATTACAGAAATGCCTTCTGAGAGGTGTAGCATGCATGGCATGTTAGGCTGCTAAAACCATTGGCAGTGGTGGGTTTTAATCTGCGTTACAAAACATGCACGGCTGTAAGGATGATTTGCTTCTTTACTTTCTAGGAAAGGCAATTATTTTACTTTGCAAAAGAGAAATCTCCTAAAATAGGATGTCTTTTGTGACAAGGGTTCTTCCAATGACAGATGTACTGTAATAGAGGCAATGAAGCCTTGCCTGTTGAAGATTTAAGGGTTCCAGTGCGAACTACTGACAGCTCAGATGCTCAGTTCTTCCTTATTTTTATGCCAAATCATACTCATGAATAGTTGGTAAGTAGCTAATTGCATGTCACTTTCAATGGGCATATTCCACTCAGGTGTTGTGGCGGATTTTCAAAGGATTTCAGATCTAGTCTTTCAAAAGAAGTTAGATGTAAAAGCCTATGTTGCCAGAGTACTAACCTTCCTTCTGGTAAGGTGGAAGACCCTGAATTTTTTTTAAAAAAACCACTTGTGCCAGTCAAGCTGCCATGTGTGCATGTCAGCAAATGCCTGACCCTAATCACCAGGGAATTAGAAAACGCAGCAGCAGGATGCTGTTGCTGTGCCCATTTCCCAGGCAGCTGTGATGCAGATGTGGGCAAAGCTGCAGCCTTAGGGGCAGCTGCCTCGGTGCCGCCTGGCTTCTGGTGAGCTGCGGTGCTCCATTTCGGAGCCCTGCTTTTGGCTGGGTTCTCGCCCTTCTGGCGGCTGCGGACTTGCCCCGGCTTTGCTGCGCGGCCGGAGCCGCTCCAGGTGCGCGCAGGGGAGGCTCCTGCCTCCCTCCCTCCCTCGCTCCGAACACGCCCCGCATGCGGCGGCCGCCCGTCCCGGCGCCGCCCCGTCCCGCCCCGGGCGCCG